GCTTGAACGTGTGTTGGAGGGGAGAGGATATACGAAAGCTCTGTACTTCATATACCCTCAATTTTGCTGTAAATCTAAAACTTCTCTAAAAATTAAACTCTATTTTTAAAAAGGCAATAACCTCCCTGATGAAATCACTGATTTAAGCAAGATCATCAATAGCTGCTAATATCACCCCCCCAAAAAAAAGAAGAGTGATAACTAGACATTATTGTATACCTCTTGGTGGAAGTCAACAATATCACCCAAGAAGTAGTCTTGAAAAGAGAGAAAGAAAAAAATCAAATTTTTAGATCTAACTGTATTTTACAGGAAATATAGAGGTGGAGGAGCTTGTTAAATAAAATCATAGGTACGCGATCGGCAAAATCCAGAATGTGGAAAGCTTTAGAGAACAAATTAACCCATATAAAAAAATTGAAAGAAAGGGAAAAAGACTCAAGAGCTTAAGAATCAAATGAAATGTGTCAATCTAGTTTAGAGCCCGATTTGAACAAACCAACTTAACCAAAAAATTAGTATATAAATAAAAGAGTTAAAAACGGACAAATACATGTATGTTCTTAACAGCACAAGTCACAATAGTCAAAAGATGAAAAGAACTCAAATGTCCATAAAAAGACAAATGGATAAACAAATTTTGTGTGTGTGTGTGTGTATACATATATATGTATATATGGAATATTATTCAGCCACAATGAGGAATAAAGCATGATACATGCTACAACATGGATGAACATCAAAACATTCTGCTAAATGAAAGAAACCAGACACAAAAGGTCACATAGTATATAAATCCGTTTATATTAAATATCCAAAATAGGTAAATCCATAGCAACAGAAAGCAGATTGGTGGTTGCCAGAGGCTGGTGGGAGAGGGAAATGAAACTAAATGCTTAATGAATACAGTTTTCTTTTGAGATGAGTTTCCTTTCGACATTTTGGAACTAGATAAAGGTGATGATTGTACACAACACTGAATTGTTCATTTTAAAATGTTAATTTTGGCCAGGCACAGTGGCTCCTGCCTATAATCCCAGCACCTTGGGAGGCCATGGCAGGCGAATCGCAAGGTCAGGAGTTCAAGTCTAGCCTGGCCAACATGGTGAAACCCCATCTCTACTAAAAATACAAAAACTTAGCTGGGCATAGTGGTGGGCAGTGCCTGTAATCCCAGCTACTCAGGAGGCTGAGGCAGGAGAATCACTTGAACCTGGGCGGCAGAGGTTGCAGTGAGCCAAGATGGCACCACGGTAATCCAGCCCTGGTGACAGAGTAAGACTCCATCTCAAAAAAAAAAAAAAAATTAATTTTATGTTATGTGAATTCCACTTTAACTAAAAAATAAAACAGAGAAGCAATTATTAGCTATTTTGAAAAATCTGAATACTGACTAGATCTTTGATGTATCGAAGAACTATTGGTAATTTTTTGGTGTGATGATGGTATTGTGGTTATGATTTTTAAGCATATCTAGTTTCAGATTAGTATAGTATATAATAATGGATAAAATTATACAATGTCTGGGATTTGCTTCTAAATAGTCCAGTGTGAGGGGGAGCAGGGGAAGAGGGTGGAGATACAGATGAGCTGTGAGTTTGACTAAACTGTTGAAGTGGGTGACTGGGGTTCACCATACTGTTTTCTCTACTCTTGAATGTGCTACAAGTCTTGCCTAATAATGTCGTAAGATTTCCTTTTCAAGTATAATTAAGAAAATCAAGATTAGGATACATTGGGCTTATGTGGAAATCTATTAGGCACTGACTCTCTAAAATTAAATCTTTCTTGTATCTGCTGAATCTGAAATAAAAATTAAGGGTGGTGGGGCCTGGTGGGGAGTGGGTCTAGAGTGAGCTCTCAGACCCAGAACTGCAGGGGGTATCTGGGGCATCAGGGAGCTCCCTTGCCTGGCCCTTGGCAGCCTGATGGAGTAAGAGGTTTGTTGAGTGCTTCAGATCTGGTCACTATGGTAGAAGAACAAAAATGCATATTGTGTCACATTGTATACAGCTCAAAAAAGGGACATTAGTCATGAGTGCCAAATGTGCTGGGCCACATTAGTGGGTCTTTCTACATATGCAAAGCACATTTCTGGCCAGTTGGACAAAGATAACTCTGATGCCCAGGAAAGAGATGATGGAAAAGTAGAGGAAGAGAAAGATTATTTTGACAAGGAACTTGTTCAATTAATAAAACAAAGGAAAGAACAAAGTCAACAAGAAGAACCTTCCAATAGCAACCAAGAAATAAACTCCAAAGAGGGGCAACCCCAATGGAGCCGAGAAGACCAAATTCCTCACTAAGACAGAGAGAGTTACAGTCAGCCAGGATGGCTTCATCCTGGACCTCCACAGTGGGATTGGAAGTGGGGAAAAGATGGCTTTAATAACACGTGGAGAAACTGTTTTCTGCATTCTTTGAGGAATAGTGGTGGACCAAAAGGATGTTCCGAGTGACATTAGGGTACTGCTGGAGGCTTCTCTACTTGGTTTCACAATCATAATAATTCTGGAGTTGTTTGGCATTCAAATAATGGAACAGTAGATTGGAATCATAATGGTACAGAAGGAATTCCAGTTGGCATTCTGAAGGAACAGGTGGCTTTTCCAGTTGGCATATGAACAACAGTAACAGAAATTAGAAATCCAGTGTTATGTCGTAAAAATAATTGCAACTACAGTGGCCCTGGAGACAAATTTCAACCAGGCAGAAACAGAAATTCTAATTATCAAATGAAAGATGTGACTATGCTATGGAACAAGGAATCTAATAAGCCAAGCAAATACAATCAAGAAAGACATAATTGGCAGCGGCAAGAAAATAAGAAACTTGGTATGACTGCCACAAATAGAGGTCCTTCTGAAGGATTTACAAGTGATACGTTTCCTTCAGAAGGCTTACTTGACTTCAGTTTTGAGCAGCCAGAAAGCCAAACCACTAAACAAACAGACACTGCAACTTTCAAAATTAGCAGAATGAGTGGCAGTGCAGAAGGGAAAAGCTTCGTTGCTGGACTCCTTACCTTTCTAAAATAAAAATTCAAAAGAAAAAAGATTTGGTAGACCTCAAGTTGAAGGAAGGAAACATGACAAACTTAGAGAAAGCATGAGGAATTTCATATGCACTTCTTAGAAGAAATACATTTGTATTTAAGCCTTCTTTTTTATTTTTTCTTTTATTTTTAGTTGACACAAAATAATTGTATATCTGTCATCTGAGTCTAGATTTTAAAAAAATAATAATTTTATATATTTATGAGATACAGGGTGATTTTCCATGTGTGTATATAATGTATAATCATCAAATCGAGGTAATTAGCATGTCCAGCACCTCAAATATTTATTATTTCTTTGTGTTGTGAACATCCAAAGTCCTCTTTTCTAGCTTTACGAAAATATGGAAAGCTGGCTCTTATAGTTTTTTGTAAATATACAATAAATTATAATTAACCATGTGACTCTATGCCACAGAACACCAGAACTCACTGGAACTCATTGATCAAAATGAACACGACTGAGATCTTTTCATTAAATGAATTGGATTTAGAATCATTAGATAAACCTTAAGATTGGGTGGGCCCATCCAAACCCATCATTTTACTGCTGGCAAGGCCCAGAAAGGGTTATGTGACTTATCAAAACATCTTTTAAAAATAATAAAAGTTGTCTGAGCACAATGAGCTCACGCCTGTAATCCCAACACTTTGGGACACTGAGGAGCACTGGAAGCCAGGAGTTTAACATCATCCTGGATAACATAGTGAGACCCTGTCATTACAAAATTTAAAATTTTTAATAAATAAAAGATATTTAAAAACTCAAAGTATGAAAATGCAGGGGGCCAGGCACGATAGCTCATGCCTGTAATCCCAGAACTTTGGGAGACCAAAGCAAGCAGATCACCTGAGGTCAGGAGTTCAAGACCATCCTGCCAACAAACCCCATCTCTATTAAAAATATAAAAATTAGCTGGGTGTGGTGGTACACACCTATAATCCCAGTTTTTTGGGAGGCTGAGGCAGAAGAATTGCTTGAATCTGGGAGGTGGAGGTTGCAGTGAGCCAAGATTGTGCCACTGCACTCCAGCCTGGGCCACAGAGCAAGATTCCATCTCAAAAAAAAAAAGGGGGGGGGAATCATTCCTAATACCATAATTCAGACAATTTTAAACTTCCGTTAAAATTTTGGGGTGATTCCTCTCAGCCTTTTTTTTTTTTAACTCTTAGGTTTGACTTTTCCTACTATAACTCTAAGCATTTTTACATATTAATGCATATACTTAAAAACAATTAATATGATTATTTTTTTTGAGACAGAGTCTTGCTGTGTCACCCAGGCTGGAGTGCAGTGGTGTGATCTCGGCTCACTACAACCTCCACCTCCTGGGTTCATGCGATTCTCCTGTTTCAGCCTCCCAAGTAGTTGGGACTACAGGTGCGTGCTACCATGGCCAGCTAATTTTTTTGTATTTTTAGTAGAGACGGGGTTTCACCATGTTAGCCAGAATGGTCATGATCTCCTGACCTCGTGATCTGCCTGCCTCGTCCTCCCAAAGTGCTGGGATTACAGGTGTGAGCCACCACACCTGGCCACAAACAATTATTTTAATGGCTGTCTAATATTTCATGGAGTTGATATAGTTTACTTTTTCATTCTTCTATAATATCACATTCACATTATTTCCAACTCTTTATGGCTACAAATAAAGCTGCAATGAACATATTTATATACAAAACTTAATTATAATTAGTATTACCACAAAAAGTCATATTTGATTTTTCTCAGAAGATAAAACTTTATAATGGAAATCTTTTTTTCCTTTTGAAAATTTTTTAGTGGACAGAATGGAGTTAGAACTCCATTTTCTTTATGGATCAAGCTATGAACAGTCAAAATGATAAGATATAGAGGTGGGCTGATGATTGTCTTTCCATTATGAGAAAAACAATATGTGAGTAGTAGAGGTAGAAAAAAATTTCAACTAAAATTATACTCTACCTGTTGAAAAGCTTTTTCTGCTTGACGTTCAGCATCAATAACTTGTCTCTCAAGCTGCTGCATCTGTAAAGCAAGGGAAAATATAAATACAAAAATTATTTCCCTTTTCTGAAAAAGGCTTAAAAACTCTCATAATGTCATCCTCAGTTTGAATATTTTAAAGTAGTTCACTGGAGATGAGTTAAATAGTTAGCACATTAAAGGCCTTCCGCATATTTAAAAGTTGATCAAAATGCCAAAGTTTTGATACTTTTAATACAAGAAATATATATACATACCTCAAGAGTATTCATCAATAGAATTTTCTTCAGTGAATTGTAAATTAAAAATTACTGATCAACACATATTAAGAACAAGAAAATCAATCTAAGGAAAGAAAGGCTTCAAATGTCCTGTATGACGGGTTGATCAAAAAGTCATCAGGGAAGTGGTGTGTTCTCATAAACTCCGTGGGTGCCATGTTCAAATAAAAACTCTGGGTAGTTTTACATTCACAGATTGATGATTGATGGAGACAGCATAGAAGAGATTCTTCGATTAAACAGACAGACACACAAATACTAACATGAATGTGATAAGGAGAATTTTAAAGGCCTTAAGAAGGACCCGATGCTAATCAACATAAGGGATGTGTTGTACCAGGGGCTGAAAACACAAATCGTGAGGTAAAACTCAGTTTTATTCTTTTTGGCTCAGTGCTGATGTCTGGCCCACTTTAGAGCCGTCTGTGACTCGATCTCTGCTCATTTTCAACGTTTTGTTTGTTGGGAGGCCAGGCGCGCAGAACTCACGGTATGCCTCTCACTCGCAGCAGCCCGGAACGCACTCGCGGTAGCCTGTGCGTCGGGCTCCTGTCCCGCCCCCTTCGCTACGCCGCCACCACCACCGAGAAGCGACCTCCCACAGCTAGAGTGGCCCAAGCGGGAACGCGGCCGCCAGCTCCGGCTCCGGAAGGCGCGGGACCCCAGGACCCGATCCCAGGCTGCCTTTGACCCGGGCGCACTCTCAACGCCTGGAAAATGGTTTCCGCTAGTGGGACATCATTTTTTAAGGGTATGTTGCTTGGGAGCATTTCCTGGGTTTTGATAACTATGTTTGGCCAAATTCACATTCGACACGGAGGTCAAACTCCAGACCACGAGCACCATCACCTTCGTCCACCTAACAGGAACGATTTCCTAAACACTTCAGAAATGACACCTATGGAGCTCAGTAAAGGTATCCGTGTTTTCTGTATCATCTTTGGAGAATCCGAAGATGAGACTTACTGGGTTGTACTGAAAGAGACCTGGACCAAACACTGTGACAAAACCGAGCTCTATGATACCAAAAATGATAATCTGTTCAATATAGAAAGCAATGACAAGTGGGTACAGATGAGAACCACTTACAAACACGTCTTTGAAAAGTATGGCAACAACTACAACTGGTTCTTTCTTGCACTTCCCACTACATTTGCCGTCATTGAAAATTTAAAGTACCTTTTGTTTACAAGGAATGCATCCCAGCCCTTCTATCTGGGCCACACTGTTATATCTGGAGACCTCGAATACGTGACTGTGGAAGGAGGAATTGTCTTAAGTAGAGAGTCGATGAAAAGACTTAACAGACTTCTCCATAACTCTGAGAACTGTACAGATCAAAGTGTGATTTGGAGGTTATCTGAAGATAAGCAGCTGGCAATATGCCTGAAATATGCAGGAGTTCATGCAGAAAATGCAGAGGATTATGAAGGAAGAGATGTATTTAATACAAAACCAATTGCACAGCTTATTGAAGAGGCATTGTCTAATAACCCTCAGCAAGTAGTAGCAGGCTGCTTGTCAGATATGGCTATTACTTTTAATGGACTGACCCCCCAAAAGATGGAAGTAATGATGTATGGCCTGTACCGGCTCAGGGCATTTGGACACTATTTCAATGACACACTGGTTTTCTTGCCTCCAGTTGGTTCAGAAAATGACTAAGGGCTGGGAAATAATAGACCTGTGCTGTCCAAGAGCACTTGAAATGTAGCTAGTCCACATTCAGATATAGTGTAAATGTAAAATGCACACTCATTCAGTAATACATATACTATTAGAAAACAGGATGAAGATGTAAAATATCTCATTAGTCATATTGACTCCACGTTGAAATAATGTTTTGGATATTTTGCATTAAATAAAATATACTATTAAAATTAATTTCACCTGCTTTTTTATGTTATGAATGTATCTATTAGAACATTTTAAGTTACACATGTAGCTCACGTATTTCTACTGGATAATAAAGGCATAGAACATTTGTTGTCACCATCTATGTTCACATATTTAACTGCCTGTCCTGTGAGCATGGCAGCATTTTTTCTTTTTTTTTTTTTTGAGATGGAGTCTTGCTTTGTCACCCACGCTGGAGTACAGTGGCAAAATCTCGGCTAACTGCAACATCTGCCTCCCGGGTTCAAGCGATTCTCCTGTCTCACCCTCCTGAGTAGCTGGGACTACAGGCACACCCTACCACACCCAGCTAAATTTTGTATTTTTAGTAGAGATGGGGTTTCACCATATTGGTCAGACTGGCCTTGAACTTCTGACCTCAGCTGATCCACCCGCCTTGGCCTCCCAAAGTGCTGAGATTACAGACATGAGCCACTGCGCGCAGCCCCATGGCAGCATTTTAAAAGGCAGTTTATTGCAGGGATCTAGATTCTGGAAGACGTTTCAAATATTTGGATATGTAAATAATATTCTGCAAGTGCATTCTTAGTACCTCATATCTAATTTCTGTGAAAGATTTCAAATGTTTAGTGAGAAAGTATTGTAGTTTAAAAGCATTTCGCTGAATTACTTGTTTAGACTATGGCACTATATAGAAGCAACGGGACAATCATTATGTCTTTTAGATGTCTCTAGAATATTCCCTAAACCAAAAACCAACTAGCAAACACATGCCAATACCACATTCTTCCACTACTGGCAATATGCTGACAATTGTCACTTCTACAGTGTAACTATATTCTATTTTCAGGGAAATTTGGCTTTTCTGGAGCCTTACTTAGTCTGGATTTTGAATATTGTCAGGATTGCCAGTAGAAACAGAAGAATGCACAAAACTTTGCTAGTGAAAAAATAGTTTTCATAAGAGGACTACGCAAATATCTTGTCTGATTTCTCCTTTTCAAATGTTTAGTTTCTGGTGATAACAGGAAGGACAAAAGTCAGCTTGCTTCACTGTTAAATAACTAACACAGGTCTTTCTACAGAGTAGGTATTCAATGTATTATAAATTATTGATGAAATGACAAAAGTTCTCTGTCATGCCTAAAGTACCATGCATATATGAAGGATGGTATCATTATTTTTACCACTGCCAAATAACTTCTTTTCTGCCCCTATGGCACTGACTTCCTATCTCGTACTACCTTCCCAACTGCATTGTAAGTTGTTGGAAGGCAGAATCAGGCTCAAAAGTTACTTGCTTTTTTAATGAAAAGAATACGTAATCCTTGAAATATTAATATTAGGAAAATTGGAAAGAATGCTGAACTTAAAGGCAACACCTAAATTAGAACCCCGATTCCAAGACTTACTAGGTATGTGATGATGGGTACATTACTTAACTTATCTGAGTCTCTGTTCCTTACTCATAAAATGATATAACACTTATTTCACAGCAGTTATGTGAAGATTAAACAGAAAAGCATCCAACATAGTATCTAATACTTAATAGATGTTCAATAAATATTTACATAGAAATTTTAAAAGCAGCTATCTCTTCCATATATATGTGTTATTTTTATGAATAATTTTTTTTTTTTTTTTTTTTTTTTTTTTTTTATTTTTTTTTTTTTTTTTTTTTTTTTTTTTGAGATGAAGTCTAGCTCTGTTGTCCAGGCTGGAGTGCAGTGGCATGATCTCGGCTCACTGCAACCTCCGCCTCCTGAGTTCAAGTGATTCTCCTGCCTCAGACTCTGGAGTAGCTAGTATTACAGGCACCCACTACCATACCCACTAATTTTTGTATTTTTAATAGAGATGGGGTTTCACCGTGTTGGCCAGGCTGGTCTCGAACAAATAACTTTAAGTTAGGAAACTCTATTTGCCAATAGTTTGCCACCGGACTCTCAAATTCTTGTGTATAAAATGTGGATAATATAACCTGTTCTAACTACCTTACAGGATGTTGTAGGGATAAAAATAAGAAAATATATTAAAGCAATGTGAAAAGCTGGTGGTATCTCATTAATTTTAAAATATTATGTAGCAGTTGTATTGTTATAATTTGAATGATGAAAATAAAAGTCACAAATGTCCAAAAACAGAGAATTATCTAAATATATAAATAATGGTACATTTATACAATTAGATGCCATACAGTCATTACAAATGTACATGGATGGATGAAATGATATATTTGGGACTTGTTTCAATGTAACATAGGAGGAAAGAAGTAGGTCAGGGTGCAGATGGAACAGGATTGGCCCTGAGTTGACAACCATGAAAGCTGGGTGATATGTACATGAGGGTCCATTATAACATTCTGCTTACTTCTGTATGTTTGAAAATCTCTCTAATAAAAAGTTTAAAATATGTACGAAAAGGTGTACATGGCATATTTAAAAATAAGTGTAAATTATATATAGAATATTATACATAAATGATGTATTGAGGAAAAAGGGGCTGCAAAGCAGTAATGAATGTTGCAATCAAATTTTTGTTAAAAAAAAAAACTTATGTGCGTTTGTGTTTATGGAATTACATATACCAAGGACAAGGAGTTGTCTATATCTAGGTGGCAGGATTATAGTTCGTATTACACATGCTCAGGAGCAAGAAGGAGTTTTATGGAACTGAAAAAAGTAAGTTGGCAGGGAGAAAAAAAAAAAGTGTTAGAATCTTGCGTTAGAAATAGTAGCCAGTTGTCAATCAAAGGTAACTCTGTGCCCTTAGAGGAAATAAGTAGAAAATCAGGAGGAAGATTTTCAAATAACCTGTGAATTAGAGACTATAAATGAATGTATATAGAAAAAGGATTCAAATGCTGAAGTGGCATCTAACTAGGTGACAATTGGGGATGATTAC